GATATTTCACTAATTAATTTCTGTTTTAGTGGGTTTAACTTTTAAGCTGCAGGGTATATGCAAGCGCACTTGTTCTTATTCCGACAGGTTGATTGTAAGTAAAGTAAAAAGGGTAAGAGCTGCAGTTGACATTTATGCAGAAATGAAGTTGGCTGCAGTTAGGTGTGGGTCAGGGTTGACAAATAGAATTTTCAAATTGTACAAAACAGCATTAACAATTGTACTTTTTTGATTCCATTTGTACCAAATCATTTTTTTTTTAATTATATATCAATATGAAGTACTCTCAAAATTAACAGTTCATCTGTATCTATGGGCTAGATTAGTCATTAGACTAATAAATAAACAAGTCCATTTTGTCACCAGATTGGTCCATAGATAGAGTCTATAGACTCCCTATGGACTACACAATAGAGTAGTCTATAAACTAGACAATATACTACTCTATAGACTAGACAATATACTAGTTTATAGATTATAATGTTATTATATATTAGTCCAAATGCAAATACTTAGAGATGTCTATAGACTATACTCTAAATACTAGATAATAGGATTGTCGGTAAATACCGCAAAGGCTACTTCATAGACTAGTCCCTAGACTAATTTATAGACCAGACCATAGAAAATTTATTAGACTACGCCAAAGTATAATAAAATGTACTTTAAAAGTCTATTCGAAATAGCACTAAAAAGACCCTTAAAATTATTTAAAATCGGATAAAATAAGTCCTAAATAAATAAGAAATAATTATGGAAAATTATTACTCTGCTTGTCTGGTTGTAATTTGTTATGACCCATTGTTGGTATTCTATTAATATGGCAACACTGAATGCAAATAATAGTTATTGCATTCCTTTTTCTATTGTTATTCTTAATTTTATGTTCGTTGAATAAAGATGTATTGAATTATTAAAAAACGCGTGTATATTACTTACATACTTTTCAAATAAGGAATAGAAATGTGGCGACGAGTAAAAAAGAGTAAAATAAATGTTAATGCATCAATAATAAAAAGCGGAAAAGGGTATTAACCAGAATTAAATAGGAACACTTCAGTATGGATGCTACTCAATTTGCCCAATTATTAGAAGCCTTCAATAAGACTCAACGCGACCTGCTACAACAATTAAATGCAAGTTCTAACCTGCAATCACCGCAACAACAACAAAATCAAAGTACCCAGCCATTACAAGTGATGTTGCCGCCATTTGAGAAATTTGACGAGAAAAATGAAAATTTCAAATTATACCGTCAGCGATTCGAAAATTATTTAACTATGAAAGGTGTTTTTGCAAATAAAACACTTTGTCATCAAATGTTGGTAAACTCAATTGGTTCTACACACTTCAAGTTGTTAGTTTCGCTTATTGCCCCCAAGACAATTAATGATGTTGAATATGACGACATATTAAAAATCTTGGAGGCACATTTATGCCCGAAGAAGAACTTTCTAGTAAGTCAACACAGATTTTTGTCAACATATCAAAGTGAGGATCAAACAATTGCTGCACTGAAAATAATCCCTGCTAAATTTTAAAAAAAATTCGTAACTTCAATTTTCGTAATATTTACAAAAATTTCGTGTATAATACGAAATATTATTTAATAAAACCCTTTTCCATTTTTACGAAAGTATGAAAACCTTTCGTAATATTTTTTTCTTAAATTTTTAACGAAATTAAACATAATGATATTAATTATATTATCATTAAATAAAACTACAACATTTTTATAAAATTTAAGAGAAAGTATAATATTATTCACAAATTATTTTCATAAAAAAATTAAAAATTCGTGTGGAGAATAATTTTGAACTAAAATTAGAAGAATTATTTTAAAATGAACAAAAATGTTTGCATAAATTAATATTTCGTAAATTTTACCATATTTATTCAAAATTCACTTTTCTTAAATTTATGTAAATTAATTTTTCCAAGATTATTTTGCATTATACTAAAATATCTCGTACAATTTCGTATATATTACGAAAGAATTTCGTGGTGCGAAACAACGAACGATTCGTACAATGTACGACATTTTTCGTATATATTAGGCATGTATTTTTTCAGTGTGATTATGTCGCACTATTACGTCGGGACATTATTGAATGTGACTTTAGATCAACATGTAATTTTAATGCAGATATTTCAAATATTTTACAACTTCACATATTTAGATATTTTTAAATAATCAACAACAGAAGTTGAAAAGGTATTATATGTATATACCGTAGGGTGATCAATTATTCGACATTTTCCAAAAACCGGTTTTCGGGTAGTTCGAATAGTTGACATTTGAAAAAAACCGGTTGATAAACATTATTTCTTTAATGTAAAAAATTGGGAAGAATCATAATCCTAGTTTATTCTAAAGTCCCTGTTTAGTAAATTTTCATAGGCATTCCAACACTGCTATAATATTTCAGCGACAAATTAATTATTGTAATTGGAATATAATCTTAAGATTGATAAAATTTTATCCAACAGTTATTCCAATCAATTTTACAAATAAATTTTTGTAATTAATTAGGAAAATCAAAAAAGTTTAACCAAAGGTGCTTTAGAAAAATATACTCTAGTTTCTTGACTCGAATATTTTAAAATTTAGACAGGCTGTATTATTATTTATTTCAAAATTTAATTGAAGTAATCTTTGAATACAAAGCAAATAAAAGTATTCGAAACCGGCTTTTAAAAAGTTAAAAAACCGGGTTATTCGATATTCGAAAAAATCAACATTTAGAAAAAACCGACACTGGTAAATCAGAAAAAACCGGTTTTAAGACCGATTGAAAAACAGAATCGATCACCCTAATATACATATATTGATATAATGAATCTTCGTCCGTCCCTCAATGCTAACCTTTTAGATATAATTTGATGAACTTCAATATCCATGGTATCATATAGCTACCGTAAATATGTATATTAAAATCAGTCATGATACAATTTGTTATGTTTTAATAAATCCTGTCTTAAAGAAATTTAGGCCACATTTGGCCCTATTTAAGGATGAATTTAGAAATTCAACTTATTTATTTTTTATACGCTAACAATTGAGCTACAAATATTAGTAACGATAGTTTATTGTCAATAAATCTCTTATATACATTAGGATGGCCTGGTTCTCAACTAAAATTAAAGTTTAATTGATTATAAGATAGCGTTTCTCAAAATTTTTGTCCTGGGGTCAATATTTGGCGAGCTGGATCAAAGGATAAAAAGGTCCTTTTTTGAGGTTTTTATGATTTTTTTTTTCATATTTCTTCCAAAGGAAAGATATAAAATTTAAGTATCATTAGAAAGGTCCTTGGGAGACGCTTTCAATGCCATACCAGACATTTTTGTGTAACAGTAAAAGTAATCTAAATTTCCTAATTGTTCGTAAAAGTTTCAGATTTTTTACATTTTAACATACATATATGATTTTAATATAATTGATTGAAATTAAAACACAATAATCCTCAATAAAATCTACGAAACGGGTTTTTTCCGTTTTTCAAAATTCAATCTAGATCAAATTTTATTAAAATTTATCGAAGCCTATGTACGCTACCAAAACATTGCGAAATAATGTAAACAATAACATAGAAATCGTTATTTACAAAGCAAGCGTAACAAACAAGTAGACATATATTAGGGATATAGGCGAAAATGAAGGGGTTGTCAAACAAAATTTGTTATTCTCTTCACACAGACGAGTTCTGAGAGAATAAAACACTCTTCAGAGAACTAAACGTACTCACAAAACTTCAAATTTTCTTCGCGATATTACGAGGATTTTAGAACTTAATAGTTTTTCTTATCACTTAAACTTAATATTTATTATTTTTTGCCACACTTTTAATGTATTTAAAAACCCGAAAATGTTGTAAAGCTAATGAAATTACGCATATGCTGATGTACATATTAAGTATGTCAGATAAATATAGCTAACAGAATACCTGGGACAAAATAGAGTTTAAAATATTAAGATAAAATACAAAACATAAAGAATTTCGAAAAACAGAAAAAACCATTTCGGTGAAATTTAGGTGAGGTGAGGTTTATAATATAATAATTTCAATTAATTACATTATATATTTCTATGTAAAAATATGAAAAACTTAAAATTTTTCCGAAAAATTACGACATTTGTAATCATTTTGGTGTTGTATACAAATTTGTGTATGTCATTGAAATCGTCTCCCAAGGACCTTTCATATGATACTAAATTTGCATATGGTTTATTTGTCAAAAATGTGAAAAAAATAACATAAAAACCCTAAAAAGGACCTTTTTATCCTTTGATCCAGCTGACCAAATATTGACGTCAGGACAAAAATTTTGAGAAATGGTATCTTAGAATGAACTAAATTTTCATTTTCGGTGGGAACATCAGCAATTTCCATTTTGGGGCCACCCTAATATACATATGTGCTATTAAATTAAAATTCGATAGGTGTTCATTTGTTAAAAAATCAATAGTCATATCAAATTCTACACATGAGACCATACATAAGACCATCCATGACATGAAACAATAATTTGCTTTAAAGTCCAAATAATTTTCACCAAAAATTTCACTTATTATCTATGGTTGAATTCTTAATTTCAAAACATATCGTTTTATATTAGATAGAAATTGAGTCCTTCGAGCTTCTATCATTTGGAATTTAATTAGATTAATATTCATATAATGTCAATCAAGATAAAAATTCGAAATGAGCTGCATTGGTTATTTGCAAAACATACTTCCAAAAAGTGGCTTTTAAAACTAGATTTCAAAACATTCTTAGAATTTCAAATTTGAACTTTTAAAGATACTTTGACCCCCATTTTCTCATTGTCTGATTATGTTTTATCATAACGATAAATCGACATTTTACATACAAAAATTATTTTAACCGGCAGTATATCCACCTGTTAAACGATAACCGGAGGTTGAGATATTGGCCCTGAGAGTATCAAATAAGAATCGGGAGTATCACGGTGCTTTTGAACATCAAATAGTATCAAAAAAAGTACCATCGTACCAAATTTGCCATCCCTGCCGCAAGTAGACAAACAACACCTTCACAATATTAATACAGTGGAGATATATAAATTAGATTCAATGTCTGATATAATTAATGAATTTCACGATGTATTTACAGAGAAAGTAGGATGTGTTAACAACTATGAAGTTACTTTACAGCTACGCCAGAGTTTCAAACCGGTATTCTACAAGGAGCGAGAAGTACCATACGCTCTACGAGAAATGAATTAGAAGCTGCCGGGATTATATCAAAATGTGAAAGAAGTGATTGGGGATCACCTCTCGTGATTATTCCAAAACCAGATGGAGGAATTCGACTATGCGTCGATTACAAACCAGGTGTTAATCCACAACTTGTTTCTTCGAATTATCCTATACGTCGTATTGACGAGATTTTAAATAACCGAAAAGGGTCAAAATATTTTTGTCGACTAGACCTCTATAAAGCGTACCTTCACCTACGAGTAAATCCAGAATCCACACAATGTCAACACATAAGGGGACCTACAGAGTCAACCGCCTTTCTTTTGGTATAAAAACCGCTCCATCAGAATTTAATCGTATTATTGAACAAATTTTATTTGGCTTAGACAAAACCATGTCATATTTCGATGACATTATAATACATGGATCTACAGAAGCCGAATGTAAACGAAATTTAATATTGTGCCTTAAGCGACTACAACAACACGACTTACACTTGAATAGAAGCAAATGCTCATTTTTTCAAACTCAAATCGAATATCTTGGACATATTGTAAGATATAATGAAATCTCAAAGTCACCAGGAAAAATTGATGCAATAGTTAATATGCCTCGCCCAGCTAATGTCGATGATGTTAGAAGATTTTTAGGCATGATAGCCTATTATTCCAGATATGTCTTCAATAACTTATCCGTTACTTCAGAAAAATTCAACATTTTATTGGTCTTCAAATTGTGAAGCAGGTGTACTTTCACATATAGTAAATGGTATAGAACGTCCAGTTGCATATACATCGAGATCATTGTCCACAGCTGAACGAAACTGTAGCCATATAGATTGTGAAGCACTTTCAATTGTATTTACATTGAATCACTTTTTTAATTACCTCTCTCGTGCTACGCAGCCTCAAGAAAAGTTATCTACAGATAAGCTCATTAACGAAGAAGTTAATGAGTTGTGTTTTGAATCATTTTTCAATATTTCTAATGAACACGTGAATGCCGAAATATTAGCACGGAAAAAGCAAAAGATCCAGAACTTTCAAAAATTTTGTCAGATCTGCTAAGTGGTGATGACGACGAAGGAAAATATACCCTCGATAATGGAGTGATCTTTAAAAGTCAAAGAGTGCTTATACCGAAAAGTCTTCAATCTATAATTCTCCAAGAATTACATCGCACACATCCGGGGATTACAAAAATGAAACAACTTGCAAGAATATACTGTTTTTCGAAAGGAATTGACCGTGATATAGAGAGAATGTTAAGATCATGTGAATCTTATGTGGAAGTTCAAAATCGACCATCAAAAGCCCCACTAAACCAATGGGAAGAACCAGAGGAAAACTGGGAGAGAATCCACATAGATTACGCAGGTCCATTTCAGAATCAGAAATTTCTAATTGTTGTAGACGCAAAATCAAAATGGACCGAATTTAGAGTCATACGTGATGCACCTACAACGCAAAACACTATAAGTTTGTTATCTGAAATCCAAGTACAAATGGATTAGCAGAGCGAAATGTTCAAACACTGAAGCATAAATTGAAAGCAATGTCATCCGATCCGGCTTCAATACAGAAAAAGGTTAACGAAATTCTTCAAAGATATCGAGCTACACCTCTGAACTGTGGAAAGAGTCCAGCTGAACTCTATTTTAAAAGACGTATTCGAATTAAATTGGATGCTTTAAAACCTACAAAGAAAATAGGCGTGGCAGAAATAGTTCAAGTTTTACACATTAGAAAAAACAAAACTGTATGGAAAATGGCAACGTAATCAGGAAGTTTGGAAACCTACATTATTTAGTGAAATTGGATGACGGCTATATGCTTAAACGCCATATAGACCAACTGAAAATTACAAATGTTCAGAAACGGGAAGTACACTTTGCCCCAAGCATTCATGGAAACAATACTGATTCTACTAACCGTCAAAATCAACAGGCTCATGATTATAACCAGTATATATTGGAAGCTCTAAATCTTCAAAATCAGTCAAATCCAGAATCCCAAGAAATTCAAGAAACTACTAATCATGCTGCACCTCAAGATCCTACAATGGTACAAGGAGCGCAGAATTCTCAAGAGCAAACTATTCGTAGATCTGCAAGATTACGCAATAGACCAACATATCTTCAAGATTACGTTCCAGAATAAATTATGTACTATTTTATTAATTTATTTTCGAAATGATTTTTTTCAAAATGACAAGATCCTATTAAGCGTGGGAGATTGTTATGACCCATTGTTGGTATTATATTAATATGGCAACACTGAATGCAAATAATTGTTATTGCATTCCTTTTTCTATTGTTATTCTTAATTTAAGTTCGTTGAATAAAGATGTATTGAATTATTAAACTCGTGTATATTACTTACATACTTTTCAAATAAGGAATAGAAAATAATTTAAAATTGAAAATGAATTTAAAATTGTACAAAATGGGTCATTGGTGTACCATTGTACTTTTGAGGATTGAATTGTACCAAAAAATGTACAATTGTACCAATTTTGCCAACCCTGGTGTGGGTATTAAATGGCAGCAGGGATGGGAATATTCCATTGTTCACTAGTGTGAACATCCTCCCGGGCTGGTTCGCTCGATTTTTTTTCGAGGCAGGGGTGCTTTGTCGCCATTTACTCGGACAATGGGACAAATTTCATTGGACCTAGTAAGCTATTGAAGAAAGAGCGACCGGAATTCATCAGGCAATTTAAAGATTCCGTTATATCTACCAACAGTTTTCAGAACTTGACGTGGAAAGCAATGTTTCTTTAGGGGTTAGAGGGAGATGGGTAGATGGGTACTTACGCGGGAATTAGAGGAAGGGTAAATAAGAAAGGCTTGCGATATTTTCTTAAACGTCATAAACCTTATGTGTTTATTGATCTTCAATATATGTATATAATGTAAGTATATAGGGTAAGTATATAATACACTTTTTAGGTTAAGGGTTTGTGCAATATTAAGGTAAGTATTTTAGGTTTAAATATTTATTTATTTATTTCAGGGTAGGTTAGATTTAAGTATTTATTTATTTGTTTTAGGGTAAGTATTTATATTAATAAAACTGTGATACACTTATCTGTAATCTATTTATTTTTAATTAGTATTTAAGTTTTAATATTTTACTTTTAGTTTTAAGTTTTATCACTAGTTTTTTAAGTTTTCTCACTAGGTGTAAGATTTTTAATTTATTTATTTACAAACTTTAAAATTTAATTTGTTGTTGTAGGGTTTGTTGTTTTGGTTGGTGGTTTGTTCGCACACACTTGTTGTTCTTCACACAGGTTGTTCAGAAGTAAGGTAAAAAAAGCAAAAAGCTGCAACTGACGATTTATACTGATGAAGTTGGCTGCAGTTTGTTGTGGGTGTTGATGGACACCAGGGATGGACACTGTTATGTGTTCAACCTGTGAGGAGAAAAGGACAATTATTTTTATTTATTCAATAAAAAAGGGTGTAGGGGAGTAGGGTAAATTATGCATGTAAAATACTTCATTGTGTGTGGGTTTATTGGTTAGAGGATACCATCACCAGCCAAGGGTGGAGTCCTGGGCTGGGGTTTAATATGGCCCTTGCTATCCGGTTTCCGCTTTCCATGATCATCGAAGGTACGAAGGTACGTGGAGCTGGTATGGGTTGAGTTCTTGGGGCTGGAGTTGGTGGTGGAGATCGGTCTTGGAGCAAATTCTTTAAAATCCTATTTGGATCATGTAGTGTTGAGTGATGCTTGCCACGGCATTGTTGGCAACGAGCCTTATGCTACGTTCACACCTATGAAATATTTGACGTTTTTTATCAATTATTTGTTGGCTGTAATGTGAACACAAAATATTTTGAAGAGCAAACAAAATATCAGCTGTTTTTCGTGAAACATTTTTATTTGTCAACCTACAAATATTTTCCCAATATGGACACAATGTGAACACCAAACACGAAACATCGGGGCAGAACCTAGTATGGGAGATATGACCAATTATAGACCGATCGGAAAAAAATTCACAGTAACAGTACCAAATTTTTTATGGATTTAGGATTTTAGAAATAAGTAACATTTCGGTATATAAGAGCAATACTTGTACCAAATTTTATATGAATATCTTGATTTAGTAATGAGCATTTAAATGATTTTCGGGAGGGGACCTTGTATGGGAGCTATGACCGATTATGGACCGATCGCAAAAAAATTTACATTAATATTTCTGTGTACAGCATGCCACTGGCAAAAATATAGGGGTGAAAGAGAAGGATGTACTCGGAGAGAGCTCTAAGCTACCTCAGCCTTTAAATATAGGTGAGGGTTCCGACTCTGAATCCTCAGATGATAATAATAATACCATTATAGCAAATCCCAAAAAGGATGAAGTAGAGCAAATGGTGAAAGAGTTGAGTGATAGCATAGCTAAACTACCTATTACTAAGAAAATTCTTTCTGGAGCACAGAGGAGGAAATTGAAAAAGATGCTTCAGGAAATAATAGTTAGTCAATCCCACGACACTCCAAAGGAAAAATCGGACTCTCTCACAAGATCTGAGGCAAAAAGGATCAGGTCTCCCGAGGAGTTGACAACTGAGAATAAACCTAAGAAGAAAAAGAGCTCCCCGTCTTCTAATACACAGTCGAAGCCAAGCCATACTTCACTCAAAGGAATCTCAAGTGAGAATCCTGCGAGTAACTGTGACAACGCCAAGCCAGATATTCCGAAGACGAACACGTCGGCGAAATCAACCTCGAAGGTAAGGGAATCTCAAAAGAAGCCCCGAAAAACGAGGAAGGAGAAGCTAGACGGAGGAAAAGGAAAAGAGCCGCCATCTTACGCCAAAGTTGCCAGAAGTAGGCACCGGGACGATCTCTGCTATGCAGTTTACGATGCCGGTAATCCGACAGGCAAAATTCCAATAGACCAACAGAGTAAAATAGAAGACCTGGTCAACAATAAGCTAGTGGATCATGCAATCGCTTCAAAGGGCAAACAACCAATAGAGAGCGAGAGCTGCGAATTCAGCATGGGCATGATGTTGATGAGGTTGGCATCTCACCAATGTGTTAGCACCCTAAAGAACTTGGTGGAAAGTATTCCTCCTCCCTGGGACGGCGCTAGGCTGGGACTGGCAAAGAAGAGCGAGCTTCCGGTGCTCTTAAAGCCCACTGTCTACATAAAAGGATGGGGCAGTAAACTGGCTAATGAACGTACACTGGAAATTCTTGGAGGTCAAAATCGAGGAATTTACCATTAACTCGCCAGAAGAAAGTGTAGTTGCCCTTTATAAAATTGGAAAGCCGCCGATTGAAAGGGCTGTCAAAACCGGCCCCGACAAGGACACTAAAACACCTAAGACAGTACCCAAAGCATCATTAGCAAGTACTGGCAATGTTGAGGAGTCAAATCCTAAAAGCGAGGAGGAAATCACTCACCCGCCAGAAGACAGAACAGCAGTGCTCTCCAGAATTGGGAATGTGTCTATTAAAAATATGCCTTATAAGGACACCGCAGTGCCATCAACAGTACCCACTGCATTAATAGCATAAGAAAATTGTAATAGGTTGTGATGCCAACTCGCACCATGTAGCTTGGGGTAGTACAAACACCAATCGCAGGGGACAAGCCCTCATGGATTTCCCTAATACTAAAGACTTGATAACATTGAACTTAGGTAATAAAGCTACCTTCGTCAATAGAATTAGAGAAGATGTATTAGATATAACTATATGTTCAGAAGAGCTTATAAACGAAATTCAGGATTTGAGAGTTTCGGACGAGCACTCCTTTTCTGATCATCGGTACATAAGATTCAAAATACTAAGGCCACCACCAAAGCCGATAAGGTTTCGGAATAAGTCTAAAACTAATTGGACAATGTTCGGGACCTTACTAAAGAACTGTTTAGGTCAGGAGACTTTTCAATGTCGAAATAAAGAGGATATAGATGCCAAAGTGGAAACGTTCACAAGTGCCCTGGTTGAATCGTTCGAGGACAGCTGCCCTCTGCGAGAGCGGAGATCTGCCCAGGAAAAACCCTGGGTAACTGGGGAGATCCGGAACCTTGGGAAGACTCTTCGCAAACTATTTAACCGGGCACGGCGTAAAAAGACCGCAGTATACTGGGATGAGTATCGTAATAAACTTGGTGAATATAAGAAAATCGTTCGAAAAGCCAAACGAGACTCCTGGAAACTTTTCTGTGAACAGGTAGATAGCGTAAATGACGTATCGAAGATAAAAAATTCCTATCCAAAACTCATGTCCAACCGGAATTTATGATCGATGACACAGGCAGAAGGCTTGAGGATATGGAGGAGACAATGAAACTCCTAATGGATTCTCATTTCGCACCCGGTATATCGAATAACATAGATGAACCGATATTGGAGGAACACGGAAATAGTTATTACAACTGACATGGTTAAAGGGGCAATCAAGAGCTTTGCTCCCTATAAAGCTGCAGGGCCGGATGGAATTTTCCCGGCACTTTTGCAGATGGAGGCGGGACTGGTTTCCGTACACCTGTCTCAAATATTCACTGCATGCTTAAAATAAACATATACAACAGTTAAATGGCAAGATGCAAGGGTAATATTTATACCCAAACCAGGGAAACCTAGCTATTCGACACCTAAGTCCTATCGACCGATAAGTCTTACGTCCTTCCTACTTAAAACCTTGGAACGGATAGTCGATAGCATGGTTAAAAGCAGCATACCATACAAAGACCTTAAATATAAGCAGCATGCTTATGTAAAGGGACAATCGGTGGAAACCGCTTTAAACGAAGTTGTCCACTACATAGGTGAATCTTTCGATAGCAAACTGTAACACTGGTGGTAAGCATTGACATCGAAGGCGCTTTCAATAACGTGCACACTGATACCCTTATCCAATCCTTAGACCAGTTTTAAGTTGACCGGGTGCTCCGTAACTGGAACAAATACATGCTAAGGAACAGATGGATAAGCTGCGAGATGTACGATATAACTATCAGGAAAAAGGTATTTCGCGGTATACCACAGGGTGGCATTTTGTCACCTTTACTCTGGGTTACCACGATTAATAGCCTCCTAAGGACCCTAACCGAGAAAGGACTTAGACCTGTCTGCTATGCAGACGATGTCGTAATACTTTTAAAGGGAAAGGATCCAAATTACTTGTGTAGAAGAGCTGAGGAGGCTCTGAATAC